TTTTTTTTCTGGGAATTAGAAAAAAGTGAGTTGAGACTAGACAAGTTCATATTTAATTTTTAAAGGATCTCTATGCTAATACTGTTTTGTCTGGTGGCACATCCATGTTCCCAGGAATCGCTGATCGAATGCAGAAAGAAATCACTGCTCTTGCTCCGAGGTTTGTTTTAGCAACAATTCAGCACCTTCGTTGTTGCTCTTTGCTTGTTTTGAAATTTTCTAAAAGAGAGGTTTGTTTTAGCACTATGAAGATCAAAATCATTGCTCCACCTGAGCGCAAATATTCTGTCTGGATTGGCGGATCTATCTTAGCTTCTCTGTCCACTTTCCAACAAATGTGGATTTCCAAGCAGGAGTATGACGAGTCCGGCCCGTCGATTGTTCACCGCAAGTGCTTCTAAATCATGTGTTAATATTCTATTATGTTAGAATGTTGGACTTACACGCTCGCCAGTCATTGTTCTTGTCTCTGAAACAGTGCAAAGCTCATTATGTTCGATTTAATGAATTCCGACCTACAACACGGGGATGTTAGGTGCCACCTACTGACACCCCCCTCCTGCTTGAGGGCATAATTTATGACATTTTTTCTGTAGCATGATGATTTGTGAATTTTTCCCTTTTGTGTTGTTCATAGCTCCAAGTTTCCTTCTCATTTAAAAGATCTATTAATAAATATGAGAAATCGTCCATTTTAAACACATTCAACACTTTGAGCCTCAAAATACATTACGCTGGTCGTTGGACTCGTTGTTTATGTCAGGGAACACAGCGAGGCCTATTTTGAGAAGAAGCCGTTACTTGAATAAATCGTCTGCGGCTACTCTGTCCACTGCATAGAATCGATCTAGACGAGCCTATTCTGCACCGCGGGCACCTTCATTGCACGAGTTGACACGCACTTGAAAGAGCGCGATGAGCAGCTCCTTTTTTCGAGTATGCGTTGAATATTGGCCTTGTGGTAGAATGGGACTACTTCAGTTATTGCAACTCAATTGTATGTCGTAGTTTT